CCCCCCCAAAAAAAAATCGTCAGGAACGAAACACCTTGTCCCCTTTTCCTAGGCTGCTTCTTGTGTTTTAATAAAAAGAAACCTGTAACACTGAACAAGCAACAGCTTATTCTTGAGAACACACAGGTGGCGAGATATCAAAAAGAGGTTTTTAAATAGGAATATGCTGCTTTGTAGTAGAAAGAGAAAAAATTAGATGAAAGATTTTGTAAATAACATAATATTGACTATTTCAACTACTGGCTGAAGGATGGTGTCGAGGAGTAAAGGTATTTGGGATCCTCGTTTTCCCTGCAGCATGGAGAAACCACAGTGCTGGCCCCTGATAAATACCCGATAAAAACAGGACTTACTAATGAACAAATGAATGAACATCTGTCACCAGTTTGCCACCACAGCCCAGTGTAGGGTGTGGGTGACTTGGCGATGGCTTTGATTTCTGACCAGGTTCCCGCCTGTTTTACTACGCTGGGCAAGTTCCTTACCATCCCTCGACTTTATGTAGGTCAAGGAGATAATTGCTGTTTAATATTTGAAAAGCAAATAGATGTCTTGGATAGAGGGCAGTCCCGAGGCTTTTCATTTATAGCTTTATTTCCCGATGTCCCATTTTGACGACTTGTCCTTTTGGTGCTAACCCTGTTTGCTCAGTGAGAATCAGGAAGCCCTGAAGGACAGGGAAAGAATAAACACAATGGTGTCTCCAGTAGATATGTGCTTGGAGATGCCATGCCCTCGTTACAGATGTGAGGCCGGCCTCGTACTCCTGTCCTGTATTTCATGAGTAGTGATGGGAAGTAGGAGGAGGAGCGCCATCATTTGTTTTGTTGCCAGGAGCTGCAAGATGGCAGGTGTGAGGAAGACGAGGGAGGCCTGCTGGGGGCCGGCGTGGGGAGAGGCCAGCTGGAAGCAGGGTCTGAGCAGGACCTGGCCAGGGACGATTCTGCTGACAAGGTATTAATGGAGGAACTTTAGACTCCAAGGAAAGTGCTTTTACACTGAACCTTTGCACGTGGGTTATGGCTGTTGGATATAGTATAATAAAATCACTTTAAAATCTGAATTTATTGGAGAAAATATATACATATCAAATTAGGAGGTTGTAGTGGAAAACAAGCACTTTGAAGTTACACCAGTCTTGGCCGAAATTGTGGCCATGTCATTTACCGCAACGTGACTGGGTGGCATTTTTCTTTTTTTATCTCTTTGACCCTCAGTGCTTCATCTGAGACATGAAAGGGCCTCCTGCTCCAAGCCGGGAGCAAGTGTGGGAGAGAACCAGGCCCAGGCACCTGGCAGGCGTGCAGCCCTGCGCTCTTCCTCCTCCTCCAGGCAGACTCTGGACACCGGAAAGGATGTGACGTCAGGACAGCAGGTAACAGGCGGGGCACCGAGGTTTCGGGTCGGAGCGGGTCACACCCGGAAGCATCGTGCACGCGTTTCTCTGACAGCGCTTCAGGGACACCTGTCGAACTGCTGCTTCGGTCCAGGGTTGCATTACATGGCTTCGACCTTGAGCTGCTGCAGGGCGTGCTCTGGCTTCCGCGAGCTGCTTGCGTGTGTACACGCCTGGGGCGCGGAAGGAAAGACGGGGCTGGCCCAAACCAGGCTGAGGGACACATAGGTCCCTGCTGCGTCTGTTCAGCTGGATCAGTCCTGTGATTAAACTCGTATTTTCACGAGTCTACATTTCTTAAAATATACTTAGGAATGGCTATTTATGTGCTGCTGTTTAGAGTGGTTGTGTCTGGCAGAGTTTGGTGCAATACTTATTTTTATTTAGGAGACAAGATACAAAAATGAAAATAAGGAGAAGCAGTAAGGATAGCTCTGAGAGAGAGAAAGAGAGAGAGAGAGAGAGAGAGAGAGATGGAAAACACATTGACGCCTTGGCAGATGAGAAGGAGTTATATCCATGTTTTGAAGAAAGGTTGTCTAGCCTCTTCACAAACATGCTCCCCCTACATTTCAGGAAAAAAAAAAGCAATTATGAATCCTTTTGGCATCTTTAAGGTAAATGTTCATTTTGAGGTTTTGTTGTAGTGTAGACCAGACTAAACAAAAAATTGTGAAAGACTGAATAGCTTAAAAGGTTGAAGCGTGTTAGTCTCTCTTGAGAGTAATCACCAGTAGTCTTTGACATTTGATTTTGTTTGTAATTAATTGACCTTCAGTGTGGAGGAGAGTTGTATTGGTTGAGAGCATTGATTTTGGCATCTGATCGACTCGGTTTCCACTCGGTGCTCTGCCGCCCCTTAATTGAGTAACCTTGTGCAGGTGATTTAACTCTGAGCCGTACTTCTGTCATCTGGGAAAAGCCTGAGTAGAACTCACAGGACTGCTGCTTTAAATAATGGGGGAGACAGGCCGGTTCAGGGCTCGGCCCTGCACCTAGGGCTTCTCCGTGGGCTGCATCGGAGTGGTACTCCCTACGGCACGGCTGAGATGGGAGAGGTAGAGGGAGGTGTGGGATTTGAGCTTTGCAAGAATTCACATCTTTCTTTTTGCTCATTTCCCTCCTTCTCCTATGAATCATGCCCTTGAAAAACTGAAAAGCAACCACATCCTAAAACCTAGGAACTGCTATGTAAGGAATTCATCAGAGTCCTCGCGAAGTCTCTGCCGTGAGTGGCAGGCTCCCTCTTTGCTCACTGAGGTCTGGGTTTTCCAGGGAGACAGGCTGGGGAGAGGACTCTCTCCCCCACAAGGAGCTCATGCTGGGGGGTGCAGGAAGGGAGGCATGCCCAGTGACCCCCAGGGGCAGCACATCATTGCATCGGAGCGGGACAAGGGCCTTGTGCACTGACAGCCAGGGGGCAGGGGCTGGTACCCAGGGAGACGGACAAGGGGACATGGTGCTGGGGCTGTGGGTTGAATGTAACCCCTCAGATATGTCCAGGTCCTGACCCAGCCTCCATGGCTGCGGCTCACATGGAAATAGGGCCTCTGCAGAGGTGCTCCAGAGAAGCCCAGCTTACGGGAAGATGTTTACCCCACATGATCTGTTCTGTGAGAAAGGGAGCCTTTAACGGGATGAAGATGTGGAGACAGTCGGCCTTCAGCAGGCCTGGAGCAAGTCCTCCCCATAGCCTCAGCGGGAGCCAGCCCTGCTGGCCTCCATCTGGTCTCCAGAACTGTGAGGGACAGAGAGCTGTGGTGTTAAGCCCCCCCAAGTGGGATTTTTGTTATGGCAACAGTGGGAAGCTAATACGCCTTGTCCCTTCTCAAGCTTTAACATTTCTGGATGCTCTTTTCCTCAGGGAGATATCTGAGAAAACTATGTAAGCAAAGGGGAAGGTTCTACAAAGATCCTGAGTGGTCTGTGGAATCCAGAGTTGAGGAAGACAGCTACCCCTTGACAAGGACTGGCCATGGATCTCATGGGGGCCCAGGCTGGGACTGGGACAGTGTTAGGCTTTTTGACTCTTCTGCTTTGCTTTCCTTTTTATCCTGTTTATCTGGGTTTATTTTCTATGCTTTCCTAAGAGTTGGGGGCACACCTGCTGGCCCCTAGGAGCCACAGCCTTGTGATGATGACTCCTCTCCAGAAGAGGAGGCAACATTCCTTCTGTCTCCTCTTTTCAGGGTCCTGGGAGGCCCATCCTGGCAGGTGCCAAGACAGGCAGGTCTGTCCCCAGACAGGCAGGTCCGACACAGACAGAGGGCCCTGAGCCACCCAGGGTGCAGGTATCCCCGTGGCCTCTGACAGACCTCCACAGAGGGGAGGCAGCTGTGGGTGGGGAACTCGGGCCTTCCTCATCCTTCATTTCTGCGACCTCTGTGGGAAGTCTGTGTGACTGCAGATGTGGCCTGGTACCTCCTGCAGCCCCGTGCTCTAATTTCCGCTGTGAGCATCTCCCCAGGCCGCTCAGGTCTGGCTGGCCTCCCTCTGCTGTGCATAGCTCCTGCCTGGATTCCGGCAGACTCAGCTGGTTCCAGCCTGCAGAGCCCCACACTTTTGGCTGACAGTGGAAGGATAAAGTAAGGCCCTTGCAATCCTGAAAAGGCGAAGTGGCCCTGCTGGGGGCGACCACTGCTTCTGCAGTGGGTGAGTCCTGGTCCTTCCCTGCGAGGTTAGTATCCAGCAGCTCTTCCCGTAGCCTTGCTCTGACCCTACTCTCCGAGGGTCCTGTCACTTCCCCCAGGGAGCAGTTACTTCCCTTCTCTCCTCCGGTCACAAGAGTCTTCAGCCTTCAGAGGGAAAAGTCAGGTCCTCTCCTCCAATCTAAGATCAACCCTTCTCCACCTCAGGATGAGTGAGAGTAGGAACGCCCATTTTCTGCAGTGTGTAGACAGGCTTTCTGGGACACGAGCTGGCCATTTGCATCACTGTGTCCTCCAAGTCTGAGCTCTACAGTGTGAGACGCAGGAGCGGAGAACACCTCTGAGTCAGCCCGCGTTGGGTTAGGTGGTTGGAAAAACAGTGAATGGGGACCTGCGCGGAATACTGCATGCACACGCGGTATGCCTAATCTCACCCCAGCACATCCCGGGGTTGTTCATTTGCAATCCTATGTTGTAGGACCAAAGTCTATTCTTCGAGGATGAGTTTAATTCTGTGTCATCTTTTTTGCATAAATCGTAACAATATTTCATCAATATTTTCAGCTTTGCTTTCTTCAAAGAATGAGAACTTAAAGATACTTGCAAAAAATCTGAGTTCAGAATTCTTCAAAAACCACACACACACATGGGACCAGCAGTTAGCATAATGGCTATGTCGCTGGACTCCCACATAGTTCAACGCGGTTTGTGTCCCGGACCCGGTGGCTTAAAACTCACGCCGGGTGCGTGTGCGTGCGTGCCCAAGATCCCGAGAGGAGAATGGAGGAGAAGGGATTGCAGTGTGTCCATCCCGCCTGGGGGGTGATTTCTCGCTTTCTGTCTCTTTGTCTCTGTCTGTCTGGCGAGCGCACGCGCCCTATAGTGAAAACCTCTAAAAAAAAAAAAAAAACCACACACACATACACACACACACGTATTTTAGTCCTTGCAGACAGCTGGATTACCCCGAGTCTCAGGTCATAAGAGCTTTCTCATTGGTCCACACAGGACTCCTGTCTGTCAGACCCGGTGTGGGACTGCCTGGCCTCATGTTATGGTGTGCTGTGCTGTTCTGTGGCATTTTTGCTCCTTGTGCCCATTCTGATTCTTGTCACTCGACCCGGTAGATGCCCTTAACTAGACACATGTCCTTGTAAAAGATGGTGAGTTTGAGTTTTCAATGGACTTAACGGGCGTTAGCCTATACGTTTCATTCTTACTCTTCCTCCTTTCTCTCTCCACATTTTTGGTGACCCGCTCATTGTATCAAATACATACACGCTTGCTTTTTTGACCTGAGTGTCAGAATCCACAGCACGTAGTTTCCCACACATTTCTTACCCGTCGGGACAGACAGCACACCCCGCATTCCTCACTGCATAACGAACTGTCTCAAAAGTGTGTGACTTAAAACAACTGTTTCACTTGCTCAAGATTCTTTGGAATGACAATGTGAGACTGAGCAGTTCTGCAGGAAGAGGGGGAGAGTGGGAATACCCCTAGCAGGGCCTGGGGACCACAGTGTTCCCCTCCATTTCTCTACCCTGTCTAAACCCTGGGCATGGGTGTGTTGTCTGACATATTTTTCAAGCTTCCGGGGCCAGGACTCAATCCCCGGTGGGCCATGCAGAGCCAGTTTTCTCTACAGTGCTGAGCCTCCCCACTGTGGGGCTGGCCTTATTTCCTGATTCTGGGATGACTCGTGTGAGATTAAGGAGCCGCTGGATATCGTCAGCCGTGTGAGTTCCCTTCTGCACGTTGCGTGCTTCCGTCCATTTGCCATCCTGTCACTTGCTGTGGGTGTGCTGGAGCCCTCATCTATTCTGGTATTGTGCTTTGCCATCCCTTGTTGGTTCCCCCCCATAGTCTGCACTTTTGATATATATTTTTTTTTATCCAGTTTTCTTCTTCATTCCAGGTCATAGAAGACTCTGGTTCACTTACTTACATTAACCTTTTAGTTTTATACTTTATATATAGGTCTCTAACTTGCATGTGGTGTAAAACAGGAATCCAATTATTCTTTTCCTTACAAAATTGGCCAGGATTTCCTATCAACAATTGTGAAAAAAACTGTCCTTTATAAATTTAATAATAAAATCACGGACGGATTCATGAGGTCTCCTCTGTGCGCTAGCATAATACTGCTTCTGTTACAGGATTTATGGTAGGAGATATTAAAAATAAATCTGGTAGGGAGAATCCTCTCTGTTTTCTCTCCTATTTTAAAGTTTGTTTGGCTGTTTGGGAACCTTTATTTTTTTAAGGATTTTAACATGAGTTTAAGGCCTTCTTCAAAAATCGTCTTCTGGAGTATTTGGTTGG